GCCGGACTCACACCTCCTTTTAGAAGAGGGGGTTAAATAAAAAACGTGTAAACGAGAGAAAACGAGTGGTAGACAGAACCATGTAACTGTGCAACTGAATAAAACAGTGGAGGATAATATGGTTGACGTACTACTTTCTTTCAAACACACAAAGGCTTCCTGGGAAAAAGAGCAAAACCATTATTTGCACTTATGCTACTTGAAAAGCTCACGCGTCCTTTCTCCTAACTTATACACCTTAGTTTTTGCTCGATTTGGTAGTAGCACGCTTCCAAACATCGCCGGTCTCTTGACGTGAACAGATTTTCGAAAAAAAGGTGGCCAAGGCAGCCAGGCTAACGATCGTTTTCAGTAAGCAAACTTAAAGCGAGGAATTTCCCTCGGCCCTTGAGTGTTCAACTCCTGTAAGGGAGTCATGGACATCGATAATTGGACCATTCATGCTAGTGCATTGGCTTGATGGTAAATTGCTGAAAACGATAGTTCGCCAAAGTGAAGTTTTACGCAATATCTACGGTCAGTGACTGAATTCATGAAATGTTAGTCGGCATTCTGAAATGCGTTTTCGATTAGGAAAGATAACTTAGGTGGGGTTGTAATACTGATTATCATGCGCCCCGATCCTATGATACTTCAGGGTCGCCAGGATGCTGGCTTTTATATGCACTTCTTTTCAACCCCAATACCGCACTTGGCTCAAAAGTAGTCGGCGATTAAAAGACTTTTTCAAAACTTAAATATACCCTTTCCTCGAGTATAAAATGTGAAGTTGACGTGGTTGGCTACCGAATGAGCAAAGGAGGGCATATTGGCGTTTTTTCCATTTTATAATTCTAATTTATAAAGACATCGGAAATCAATGTGAACAGGGCATACTTGCCTTGTTTAATTTCCGAGGAAATTAATGCGCGAACTTGGAGTAAATCTTTCGAAACGGGCCTTTTCAGGCACGGTCCAAAGTTTGATATGAATATTTGAGCTGAAATCCATCACCTACCGCGGAATTACCGCTTAACATTCACAAACCGCCAACAAGCGACCAGTAGTATAGAACTGCGCAATGATTTACCGTACTAACAACACAGGTATTAGCTAAAAGCCCAGACACGCGTGTTTCGCCGATCTTATGCCGCTGCATACTACTTAAGCAGCCGTTTTTTACCGAGTGCGATTCTTACTTCAGGTCAAAAAGAAGTGCACTTAAAGGCCAATATCCTGGTGAGTTCGAAGCATCACAGGATTGTGCCACATGATAATCAGTATTACAGGCCAATTTAAGTAATCCTTCCTATCGAAAAGGCATTTCAGAATTTCGGCCAACATTTTATGAGCTCGGTCACTGACTGTAATACTTCAGTGGTGATCATGTGCTTGGGTCCGCCAGCTTAGCTGCAGTCTACCCGACGAGACCACGGGTCGCGGAAGGGCCTTCAGCAAGGGCTGGCTGCGAAGTAGGCAGACTCTCGGACCGCATGGCGGCAATACCTTCAGGTGTGGCTGGTCGCTGATTGGTCGGAGGCAGTGTGCCACCCGCCAAGGCCTCCCTCACCGTCCTTAGGCACAATTCTGGGATCTTAAACTTGTGTGGCGGAAAGGGCGCACGCAGACGTTCACTTACAAAAGCTGGAAACTACGGCAATACCACCCCTTTGCACCAAGACACCACACCGTGCGAGTTCTAGTTCATCACAATCTCTCCCAGCCGTTCGATATTCGGTATGGCGGTCGACGAGGTTGTATCCTGTCGCCCATTATGCTTAACTAGGCCAGTGATTAGATCTCCGGGGGGCGTCCTGCACAAAGTTGGTGGTGTTGGGTTCGCACTTGGCCGCCGGCTCACTGATGGTATCACTTTACTGACTCCAAGTTTTAGCGATCTACAATTTATGGTGTCAGGAGCGGATGAGGTCGCCAAATCTGTCGGTTTATCCATAAACACCGAGACGACTAAAGTGGTTTCAAGCTGCCTCCCCGACCAGGCGGCACCTCTCGAGATTAATGGCTGTCAACTTGAAGGCGTAGACAGTTTCAAATACCTCGGGACGGGGCTGCTGCCACATGAGGACGACATGGTCTCCCGAATCGATGCTGCTCGCCGGACTTTCTTAAGCCTTCGAATATGCACATGGATCCGACGCCAAATAGTTGTTTGTTCGGGCACCAGCACTTGGAACTACAGGACTTTTCGTCTATTCGCCGGGAGTGCGTCTGCGTTTGAAGGATATAATCAGACAGCGTCCCACACAAAAAAACATCAGAAGTACGTGATTGAGTCCATTAGAGAGAGTAGAACTGGGCAAGAGGCATGAAAGTGAAAGTAGAGGAGACTTGCAAAGTCGTCACCGGACGGCGTTGTCGTAAAAACGTGTCCGACATCTTTGATTAGAGGGAGCCGAAGAGTGGCGGCTGCCGATGAACCCGGGAGCAGACGTTCGATCGAGGTTGAGTACGTCATGAAACCTTGGTACTAAGAAAGGGGAATTCAGAAAGAGGAGATCGCTTTATTTTGAAATCATAAATTCAAAATTTTTAGCAAAAATTGGCTCTATTCACTATGGGCAGTAAATAAGTTAACAGATTGTTCCAGAGTCAAAACGTTTAACACAAAAGGAACGATTGTTATGAGGATAGTTCAGGTCTTAGCTTTTGTATTTCTATCTCTTCACACGTACTAAGGTAAATCGAGATA